TGTGTGTGTGTGTGTGTGTGTGAGTGAGAGTTTGTGTGCGCGCGCACGCGCACCCTCTCGCGTTTGTTTTAGTGTTATGAGGAAAGGGAGGAAAAATGGGGGTTCCGGACCAATGGAGTTAATGCCTCGCTTGCAGGTCAGGCCGAGATCAATAGCATTGTATTTACTGCCCCTATTAACGATACGCACAATGACTTCGTGTATGATGTTCCTATTGCTATCGCCTTGAAGAGCTTTATGTCTCGCACCCGTGAATGTGATCTGTGAAGAAGTAGGAAACGGTTTCTGGTATTTTTATTTTAATAAAAAAAACAAAAAAACCAAAGCAAGGGTAGAGAGAAGCTGCGCTGTGATAACAACACTCGTTTGAGCGAATGGGAGAATGAAGGGAGAGCATTCGAATGGAACAAGAAGTTTATTTCACAGTTGCGTCCCCTAGACTTGAGTCTTGACCATCTCTGTTTGATGGGTTTAAAATAAGGGCATGTTTTTACTTTGCCTTTTCCATTAGGTAGCTCCCACCAAAGTGCGTTTATGTGTTATGGGTCTTTTTGGGCCTTACAAGCCCCTTGCGTGTTTTTTGCTGTTCCTCACCGATTCCAAAACCACCCGTGTAATGTTTTTTCTCCCCTTTTCTTCCTCAGGATATCTCAGCATGGCGTTCAGCCCTACTCAGTCTCCAGTCTATGTAAGTAGGCTTTTCAAATTTATTTTCTAAGTAGCTGCCTCCCTCCCTCTTTTATCTGTTGTGTCTCAGTGATAGCAGATTCGCTGTACCCGTTCAAGAGGTCTGAGCCTTCTTAGGCAGGGTGTGCAGATGTACTTGTAGGAGTTGTAGGAGTTTTTCTTTTGTTTGTCGTTGTATCGTCTCTATGCATTTTAATTTCTTTCTTTTTCCATTCTTCCTCGCTCTCACAACAGGACCAAGAACTTTGCCATTGAAATGGCCTATTTGTTCCCAGTAGAACATCATATTGTTAGAACCAAAACATTAAAACTGTTGTGCCTGTCGCGTTCTTTTGTTGTTAGTCTTTATGAAAAAAAAAGTGTCCCCGTTATTTACTAACAGAGAAACAACAACATTGCTCAACATGCTTGAGTCCCATGTGCCCAAGTGACTTACGGACATCATCGACGAAGATGAAACATTATGATTACCCCCCCCCCTCTTTTTGTGGAGGGGGATTCCATCAAAACGGCTGAATCGTAGTGGATGGACGAGAAAGGCGAAGTGTCTGTCGTTTTACGTCCTGGATTTCAAAGCAGAAAGATGCTTTTTTCACTGTCTTTCTCAATCACAGTAGCCCCTTTGAGGCTGATATCATGCCACATAGTACTACTATGACCTCTTCTTACTACATTGTGCAAAAGTACTGTTCGCGTTTAAAGATGCCGTTGGTGAGTAGAGGTCAAAGATTGAAACATCTCGCGCTGCTCCACAACAATGCGGCTCTGAAACAAGGGCCCAAACTTTGTGTATACAAGAACAAGGGATCCGAGTTTTGCATCATCCTGACGTAGCTCCCTGTGACTTCTGGTTATTTCCTATTCTGAAAGATAAGCTTGCTGAACGAAAGCTTGAAATGCGCATTCAGGGCTACAACAGCTGTCAATTTGAGGACTGCAAAGCATATCGGGAGCTAACTATCGCTGTGCCTTCTAGAAATGGTTGCGGAGGCTGGAATCCAACAGTCAACGTTTAGGAGAGTATCTTGAGAAACTGAGAACATTTCAAGTCCATAGCATTTTCATTTTTTTAAAAGATTAAATCTCACAACTGAATTACCTTTAGAGCCTCACTTGTATTGACCATGCTACAGTTAAAGGATGTTTGCTCTGTGACTTCTGTTGTTAGGCGCCACCCAAGGTTCTGTATGACGCAGAGGTCGTTGTGTGGGGCTACCGTGTCTATTGAAATAGGCACATACACAGTTAGCCAAGGCATCAAGCTGTGTGTTTGGAGACGTCTTTGGAGGAAAAGAGAAAGAGAGAAAGAAAGAAAGAGAGCGAGAAGAGAGAAAAAAAAGAAAGAGAGCGAGACAAAGAAAGAAAGAAGGAGAGCGAGCGAAAGAGAGAGTGA